TTAAGAAATATATGCTTGAACTTTTCAGTTTCTAAGCTATTTTATTGAGAAATCACAGAACAGTGTTGACAATACATTTCCACGCTGAATGATTCTCTACGTGTGATGTACGCGCTACTGTCTGTAGCCTATGTGTGTGCGTTACAGTGCAGCAGCGCATTAGATTAGAACGGCGATTAACTTACCTGTACAATAAACTGTGTAAAACGTGCATTCTTCCGTTCAATTTCAAGCATCCAGTAATATAATCACACATGTCTTGTGGAGCGCTTTCAGAGTATGCATTTATTTGTCATTTTAACTGTTCGGAAACAGAGCCTAAATGTGGAAGTCCTTCAAAGATTTATTAACCTGTTGCGCCCTCTATAGGACCAGCGACTAGTCGACGTCAAGCTTAAAGCGTCATGGCAGAGCACTGAAGTCGATTAGTCGGTGCAACCCCTAGTTGCAACTAACAATTATTGGAAGGATTAATCATGAGTTGTGTCCATATAGAAATGAGATATTCACTACTGTAAAGTGACATGACTGGCGTATGTTTTCTGAGCAGTGTGTTGACGCAATTATTAATCAATAATCAGATTTGCTGTCGATTATTGATTTTATCGTTTAGTTGCAGATCTACTGTGCAAAGCTTTGTTGCCATTAAATTGGCTGCATTTGTTAAATGTGATCCAATGTACTTTGTAATTACACACAAATCTGTCTTTTCCATTCATTTGCAGTTAAATAAAGGCATTTGTAGCTCGCTTTAGATAAAAGCACCTGCTAAGTAATTAAATGATTAATCAAGATATGTAAATATTCAACACAGTTAAAAATATAATTAAATTTAATGCTATTAAATCCAGGTGTAATTTTTGTCATCTAAAACAAACTTTGTGAATGATAAAGCTTTGTTGAGCAAATAAGTCCTCAGAGGCTGTTCGTATGAGAGTCTCTTACTGTTTTGAGTCACAGGATGGCATCAGTGCGTTGCACTATGAAAACAAGAGACTAAGGACATTTGCATTGTCATTTTATGTAAATATTTGACCACCCAATGTCTTGTTTGACCAATCAGGAGGTTATTAACCCTGTATCACCTGACAGATGAAATAATAGTCAGAAAACCCTACATTTTTGAACAGTTTATTGAACTTTTAGACTAATTTATTATTTATATACTGACTCAAAATGAGCAAAAATATGCAATTTGGTGCAGATGCTGATATTTATATGAACAAAAAGTGGTGTAATTCTGATGCTTGTGTAGCGAATCAGCTCATAAGGGAAATATGAATAATTAATCATAACTAGTTATAATTAATTATAAATATTTAGATCCGCTGTAGATATTTACTTGACCTCTCAGGGTCAACTGTCTGTCAATTCTAACAACGTTAATTTCCTGGTTAAGGGAAATAACTTTCTTACTGTACAATTCTACAAAGAGCTTGTAGCATAAATCTGCATGATTAAGTGACTCCAGTTATGAGCAAACAATGAACAACGTCAAGTGTGATACAAGTAAGACTTTATTAACTACATAAACACTTAAACTAGTCTAAACATACACATAAACACTTAAACTGGTCTAACGTACACGTACACACACACACACACATACGGTTGGTATAGGAAAGGGTTAAAGCTTAAGCAGTAAAGAGGAAGAGAAAATAAGAATATGAAGTTATGGAACCATTTGCATATTCAGCAGATCTAACACCTGAAGGAAACATCAGATTCTTAGTTCAAACACAC